TCACTATGGTACTTTTTTATGAAACTAAAAATGCTACACACAGATTTGTCCTAGCTCTCTTATTTCCTGAAATACAGGTCGAAATTGAAAATGTTGCATTTTTTGACCCCCTTCATTATCTCGGTTATCTTATAACTAATCGAAAAGGTGAAAACTGAGCCTAGTGGATATTCTCACGTAGAATCCAGTGGCGTAACTAGTTTTTCGTTGGGAGCTGTCATTCTCGAAATATAACCTAAACTTTTTTTTTGAAATGGGACACCCTGTATATTATTTTTTTATTTAATTTGCTTTGTCTTGGGCTTTCTAAAAATATAAATACCATAGACTTATTTTCATAAATAAGATAAAAAATATTTTTTTTTAACTTTTTAATATAGGTAGCCGGTTTATAATAATAGATAGTCATAACAATTGAATGATTTATTCAATGTCAAATTTTTTGGCTATTGTCTTTTCCATGTTTTGGCTTCAGTTGACACCACACCATAGACGTCTTGTAGATACATAGTGGAAGATGTGGGTGTATCTAAAACCAAATTGCAAAAAATTTTAAAACAATTTAATTTCAAACCTTATAAATATAAACTTGTACGTCATCTTTACCATGGGCATCCTGCGCGTAGAGTCGAGTTTTGCAACTATTACATCGACATGTGTGGTAATTTTACCTGTACGGATATCCAAAATAGGCAGATTTTTATTTATTCTCTATTTTTATTTTGGAAGTTGGCAATCAAATCTAAAAGCTGCATAAGCTCATTTTCAGTGCAGTTTATGAAAAAAATGACGGAAAGCAAAATTACCTGGTTAAATAAAATAAAATAAAGAATGCCCTTGTTTATATATTAAGGGTAATACCACAGAACAGATACGATTTGTATCTGTTCTGTGGTAATACTCTTTTAAACTAGATTGGTTTATGTTAAAAAGTTAAAAAATGTATTTTTTTACCTCATTTAAGAAAATAAGTCTAGGGTATATTATATTTATTGAAAGCTCATGAAAATGCAAATTTAATACAAAATAATATACAGGGTGTCCCATTAAAAAAAAACATGTTTAGGTTATATTTTGAGAATGACAGCTCCCAATGAAAAACTAGTTATTCTCTGTTATTCTCTGTTATTCTCTGTATAAATCTCTACTGGGCTCAGTTTTCACCTTTTCGATAAGTTATAAGACAACCGAGATATGAAGGGGGTCGAAAAATGCAACATTTTCAATTTCGCCCTGTATTTCAAGAACTAAGAGGGCTAGGACAAATCCGTGTGTACCATCTTCAGTTTCATAAAAACGTAGCAGTGATGGGAAAACCGCATCTTTGTATCTCTGTACCCAATTCGCACTAAAAGAGGTTCTAAAAAGAACAATGTTCGATTGCAAGGTCTGTTAGTAAACGTTTTTAAGCTAAAGTATCACAACGCTATTTATTTAAACCAAAAACCCGTAATACAAAACTAAAGTGTTAAAACGAATGACAATGTCAGGAAATAGATAAATAAATGTAAATAAATAAACCAAATCACGTGACTAAAAATTTATTTGACACGAACTATATAATATAGAGCTTTTTTGGTTTGATACTATTATACAGGATGAGTCTTAAATAAGTGCAAATATTTTCGAGGTTTGTTAGATCTCGATAAAAGAAACATATTCTCTCTTTCCGGTTTTTCAAATAAGTTCAAAATATTCGAGATATTTTAATTTGAAAATTTAAAAAAAATGTTTTTTTTTCGCTTAAATTTTGAGAACCACGCGATCTTTTCTAGTTTTTTTTCGTGTAATTTTAATCCTATGTTGACTATGTTATCCTAACCTATGTTGCCATATTATGAAGACCTTATGTTTTTTAACTAAAAATAAAAAAAAATCCAAATTATTTTTTTTTGCGAAAAAAAGCTCATAGACGTGTTTCTGGGGTCGAAATATACTACCCCTAAAATATTTGCATTTATTTAAGACTCTGGTTAGGTTAAAATTAACTCTTTAGACTTTTTATGATATTATTTTATCATATTCAATTACGAACTAATCAACGAAAATAAAGTAGCCATCGATAATTTTAAGCATAAATTAAAAATTAATTGCATCTAGAAACTTCACGAATGTTGTTGAAAATTGAAAGTAATTCAAATTTCACTCGCCATTAATTCGATTAGAATCTATATTTAGCGTCTTCAGAATTAATGATTTTGTCAATTATTAACCAAAAAAATAATCGATTAAATTTCTGAAAGTGATAGAAGATATCTACATAGGTATATAAAATGCTAATGTTTATCTGTGTCGTCTCTACTGAAGTAACGACTTGCTCTAGAAAGTTGCTTTTTTTACTAAAAGATAGCTAATTGACTCTAAAAACTGTAGTCGCCGGATTTTTTTGTTTTTCATTTAATTAAAAAAAATCAAAAGTATTTTTTTTCCTGATGTCGTGGCGGATGCGCCAGGCTTCAACTAGTATGAAAATAAAAATGGTTATAATCAGAGGTGGGTAACTATTCCAAATGAAATTATTTAAAATAGCTATATAAAATACAAAATGGCCATTTTCTATTTTAAATACATTTGAAAAAGTATATTAAAATATTTTATTTTTTTAAATAATTTATAAAAGAGTAAAAATTGAAAAATCTAAATATATAAAATGCTAATATTTATCTGTGTCGTCTCTACTGAAGTAACGACTTGCTCTAGAAAGTTGCTTTTTTAGTAAAAGATAGCTAATTGGATATCTAAAAACTGTCGTCGCCGGATTTTTTGTTTTTCATCTAATTAAACAAAAAACAAAAAGTATTTTTTTTCCTGATGTCGTGGCGCATGCACCAGGCTTCAACTAGTTCAGAATATGTCGCAAACTATTAAAAATAGGTATATGACATACTTAATAAAAGTTGAAGAGCAAAAAAAGTTGTTTGTAAAATCTATTATAAAAAATGAAAATATATAGGGTGTGCCATTTAAAAAAATCGAGATTTTTTAGTCTTAAATAGTTGAAATTCATAAATATATTTTGAATAAACATCCTTTAGCATCTAACTAAAATAGCTTACATATATCTAATTCTTCATCTTTATAAAACTCTCCTACCAAATTTTAGTATTCCAACTTCAGAAACAATGGCATTACTGAAAATTTTTTACCACACAGAAATCTAACAATTGTTTAAACAAATTGGAATATTACAGAAACTACTAATTTTAGGTATATAATACTATACATAAAAAATTTATAGAATTTTGCGCAGAATCTAAAAATAAAATAAAAAGTAGGGTGTTGCATTAAAAAAACATATTTTATAAGCGCCACACTTTTTTGAAGCATGCTATATACTGTATATCCTATAATAATTTTAAAATGTGTATGTTAACCTGTCATATAACTTTTATATTTAACATTTTTTTGTAAACCTCGAAATAAATGAGATAATGGACTTTATCGTTGACTCACGCTGTACTATACATATAATCGAAAAAAAAACGGCGTCAACGATGGCTATAAAACGAAGATTGCTGTTATTTTATATGTAAAATGATATGGTGAATGTCAAATGTCATTGGATGCATTGGAACGTTATTAACAAGCCATCTGGACGCCGTTTTTTTCAATCACACGGTATTTAATGTATAGGTACCAATATGTCATTAAAATGAAAGAAAGTATTTTCATTTTGTATAAATCCCTTATTTTGTATTTTCATTTTAAATACATTTCAAAAAAAAATCATTTTACCCACCTCTGGTTATAATACTTTTAGTTTTTTAGCTTTTTACATTTTACTTTCCGAGATACAGCCGAGAGCTATTCTTAGTGGGACACCCGGTACAACATTAGTCGGTATCTTCGCTAATTATCAACATCAATATGCAGTTCATCCTGCGTAGAATCTGCGGCATTTTCTCCGTTTTTTGTGGTTTCTTTCGAATGTCTCCACTTCATCCGACGATTCTGAAACCACACTTTAACTTGAGCATCTGTTAATCCTAGAAAAAATCAAAAACTTTTTATTATTGTAACTGAAATTTTATTGAGTTTTTCATAAAAGTATCTCTTTAAATTTCCATGGTTAATTGAAATTTAATTCTCTATAAAAACCGTCTCTTTAGTTTCTTCGAAAAAACTTCCTAAAAACGGAGATATTTGAAAACAACGCAAAAATCCAAGATGGCGGCCGTTTTCTTTCAAACTTCCCCCACTGGGACCGAATGGGACTTTTGAGGGGTTAAATAGGAGATACTTTTTTATACATTCCCGCTGAGATTGGCTGGTTACTAATTTTTTCCACCTCAACTTTCAAATTGACTGGGCTAAATCTTATTTAAGCAAGATCTACAACGATACATCAAAAACCCGGCTCATTCGCCATTTTATCAAATATTATTTCGGATTAAAAATAAAACTTAAGCTTGTTTGCTAAAAAAAACGATGTTTTTATAATTTCATTTCATAAAAAGGTGAAATTAGGTGTGAGTTTGTATTAAACCCTAATCGCTTGGTTTAGAACCATAAAAGTTAGCACAACCTTTATTTTAACTGTCATTAGTTAGCAAACAATTAGATTTTAGAAACTTCAGCCTTTTAGGGAGGAAAAAGAGGATAAGGAAATTTGTATGAAAGTTGATTAGGTCCAGAAATATAAAATTTTGCGAGTTCCTGGAGTGACATCAGTAAGAAGCACCAAATAATATTTAAAAAAATCATCCCTTAGAGGGATAAAAAATAAAGACAAATTGTATGAAAATAAGTTACATTTTGCTAAAACTCTTCGTTTCGGAGATACAGAGGGTGTAGAAATTTAATTTGTATTTCGGTTTTTCCAAATAAATTCTGTACTATGTCGATATTTGGATTAAAATTGGTTTCTGGGAGTTTTTTGACATGAGAAATTTGATTTCGATAAAACACAATAGAGAAGGTTTTACAATAATACATTCACAGTCAGTGAATCCCGAGTTAAAAGTCTCTAGGCACTCCACTAATAAGTATAAACAGAAAACTAGTGTGTTTTATTGTTTTATTCTAAAAATAAATTATACTATTACAACAAAATGCACAACAACATTAATCGGTATCTTCGCTAATAGTATCAACATCAATATGCAGTTCATCCTGAGTAGAATCTGCGGCATTTTCTCCGTTTTTTGTGGTTTCTTTCGAATGTCTCCACTTCATTCGACGATTTTGAAACCACACTTTGACTTGAGCATCTGTTAATCCTAGAAAAAAATCAAAAACTGTTTATTATTGTAACTGAAATTTTATGTTATTCATAAAATTTCAATTCATAAAAGTATCTCTTTAAATGTCCATGGTTAATTGAAATTTAATTATCTATGTTAAACCGTCTCTTTAGTTTCTTCGAAAAAACTTACAAAAACGGAGATATTTGAAAACAACGCAAAAATCCAAGATGGTGGCCGTTTTTTTTCAAACTTCCCCCACTGGGACCGAATGGGACTTTTGAGGGTTTAAATAGGAGATCATTTTTTACACTTTCCCGCTGAGATTGGCTGGTTACTAATTTTTTCCACCTCAACTTTCAAATTAACTGGGCCAAATCTTATTTAAGCAAGATCTACAAAGATACATCAAAGACCCGGCTCATTCGCCATTTTATCAAATATTATTTCGGATTAAAAATAAAACTTAAAGCTTGTTTGGTAAAAAAAGCGATGTTTTTATAATTTTATTTCATAAAAAGGTGAAATTAGGTGTGAGTTTGTATTAAACCCTAATCGCTTGGTTTAGAACCTTAAAAGTTAGCACAACCTTTATTTTAAATGTCATTAGTTAGCAAACAATTTGATTTTAGAAACTTCAGCCTTTTAGGGAAGGAAAAAGGGGATGAGAAAATTTTTGTGAAAATTGATTAGGTCCAGAAATATAAAATTTTGCGAGTTCTTGAAGTGATATCAGTAAGAAGCACCAAATAATATTTTAAAAAATCATCCCTCAGAGGGAAAAGTAAAGACAAATTATATGAAAATAAGTTACATTTTGCTAAAACGCTTCGTTTCGGAGATACAGAGGCTGTAGAAATTTCATTTTTATTTCGGGTTTTCCAAATAAATTCTATATTATGTCGATATTTGGATTAAAATTGGTGTCTGGTAGGTTTTTTGACATGAGAAATTTGATTTCGTTGTCAATGTGACTCCTACTCAGTGGCGCATCTAGAGAGTTTAGTCTGGGGACCCTGGGAGAGGAAGTGGCAATATTTAAGTCAAATACTAGATTTAAACTAATTACGCTGGAAGGTATTGCGACTGTGGAACAAAATAAGATTAGATTGGTCTGGATTTTCTATATTGATTAGTTGTATAAATTTCTTTTATGACAATTTTATTTTAAGCCACACATTTTATCTTATTTTTAAAATATTTTCTGGGAGGGGTAATTACCCTTATTACCCTTCCCTGCTACTTGTAGGGGGCACAACCTACACATTTTTTAACTGGTTTTAAGACTTTTCTTCCGTACCTGTATACAACTACTGTGATAAAAATATTCCGCCACTTTTTACTTAAAAAGGCTTTTGAATCTAAAAATCGAATATTTGGAATGTAAATTATGAATACAGGTCAGAAAATCATTGACAAAAAAGCATATCGACTAGATAGTTGCTTTACTGAAATGAAAAATATTTCATATTTTTTTTCTAAAAAATGAAACAATTTCTGTTGAACCTGGACAGGTATTGAAATGACATGTATTTTTTATACCAAATATCTCGGAGAACATTACTTCTAGCAATTTTTACCAAAAGACCTTTTTTTACGTAAAAAACGGCGGAAATGCATATTTTTTCACTCAGTAGTTGTATATAGGTACGGCCCTTGTATATATATTTTAAACAAGAGTAAGGCCGAAGTTCTTATTCTTCAAATTAGTAAAAAATGTGTAGAGCGCGCCCCCCAAGAACAGTTTTGGCCGCCCCCTACGAGTAGGAGACATATTGACATCAAAATCAAATTTCTCATGTCAAAAAACATCCCAGACACGAATTTCCATCCAAATATCGACGTTATTTCAGTAATTATTAGGAAAAAATCGAAATAAAAATGAAACTTCTACATCCTATATCTTCGAAACGAAGCATTTTAGGGAATACATTTATACGAACTTGTTTACTAACTAAAGTCATGGTTTGTGTCATGGTGAAGAGCTAGTTAAATATAATAAATATATTTAAATCTACCTAATGTAGCTGCCAGTTGTCTTCTGTCTGGTTTGGTAATGTATTTTTGTAATTGGAATCTCCTTTCCAGACCTTTCCTCTGTAGATTGCTGAAAACTGCTCTGGACCAAGATCTTTTTCTTTTGCTGTTCCCAGTACTATTCTGCATAGAAGATGTGGGTGATGGTGGGCCATGAGGTATAGCTATTCTTACAGCTAAAACAAATAAAAAATAAAAATAACTTAAAGTCAGTGAGATATAGCTATTTTTACAGATAAAATAAAAAAAAAATGTTTTACACGGTTATTTCACATACACTTGGTTTTTAGCTAAAAAAAATCAAACAGTCTTGATAATATGGCAACATAGGTAGATCCAGTAGTTCTCAAAATTTAGTCGAAAAAGTTATTTTTTGTAAATTTTCAAAGTAAAATATCTTGGTTACTTTGGACTTAATTGAAAAACGGTAAAGAGAAAATATGTTTCTTTTATCGAGATCTGCCATCCCTTAAGATCTGTACTTATTTCTGGGACACTCTGTATATTATAGTACCTACAGTTAGTGTCCCCGAAATAAATTTTGTAATTAAAAACTTGTTCGAATTAGGCAAGAGCCTAATTTATAGAAAATAGAAAGTATAATTTGACATTTAAAAATCATAGATTGGCAACTTAAGGTATGCTAACATTTGCCTGGTTTTGCATTGTTACCTGTTCAGTTTCAATTTTTAAAACAGATGCAGTTTTTTTTAAACTACGGAAAATCTTTTTGACACAGACCTTTGAAAAACCTATTTATGATTTTGCTGTAAAATCAACACGGGAGCCAATATTTGGACAGTTCAAAATTTGCATGAGATTTCCTATATTTCCAACCACGGTGCACCTCCTTATAATAGATTAACAGAAATAGGGAACGATAGTAACCAATAAGAGCAATAAAAATGTTTACACTGTGCCGTATTGTACGATGGTTCGGGCCAGCCACCACACTTCAGCGGAAGTGTCTATCCAGATTGTGTCAGTATTCGAATACTTTAATTAGCCCGAGGCTCATAAAACTTAAAACAGACTATAATGGTTTATAAATATACACGTTAAAAACCGTTGATGGGTACCAAATTTCCAAGCGAAACGTATAAACAGATCCCGCTCTATTACCATTATCGAGTAAACACTTCTTACGTTTACGATTCCTGCTTTAACAATCCCGCTTGTGTATACACATGGGCGAGGAGTGTTTAGATGAATCGACTTGTAAAAGCGAGGTTTAATCGGGCTCGGGCTCGAAAGACGGTGTGTTTTTGGTGTAATAACATCGACTTTTATAGGCGGTAATTGGGCTAACGGTCCGCAACATTTCCAATGAGAAATTGTGGCTTTGAATGATTGTTTATTTAGAGAATTTTCGAGATTTATCCAATAATGAGATTGTGAAATAAAACAAGATATATGCTAATGTTTTATACAGGGTGAGTTTCCTACGATGTTCTCTAAGGGTATCTCGAAAACTACTGGAGATAGAGAGTCGGTTAAATGGGGAAAGAATTGCAGTTTTGTGGGGTCATAAATATGCGCCTTTCAGATTTTTGAAAAAGTTCATGGCTTACAAGATATTTAAAAAAAACAAATTTTGGCTATTTTAAAAATTGTTCCTAATTCCATTATAATCCATTTTAGACAAAAAGTTTTCAGATAAAAGTTGTAGGTAACCAGATCCGTAATGATCGAGGTTGCGTTCTTCGATTTTTTCTAAAGCCTGACATTTTTGACATATGACACAAACATATGTTTTTTTAAATGGAAACCATAGTTGGCCATCACTTCATAAAAAACGCCATTTTTTAAGCTTTTCAGTGATATAAGCTATGATATGGTTTTCAAAAAATTACTGAGTTGTAGCCAATTTTTATCTTTCTTGACTAATTTCACTTAGTTGGCATGGTGTTCTTATTTTGTTATGATTTATAACTTATAAAAAGACAAGATATATTATTAAACGACTTTTTACAATTTACAGTACACAAACTAAAACTTAAAAAAATAATATCACTACATACACTTTTTAAGTTATTTTAGAAAATGTTAAAAAAATTCGCCATTGTTTGGAGTACATAAATGCATCTTTTTAAAACTGAATTTCTAGATTTCTAGCTATTCTCACACAACGACCGGTCGGCTTAATCAAACTTCTCCTGTACCGCTTCTTCGACTGCCTCTGTTAATTCATAAGTTCTTTTGTAAACCTTGTTGTTAACCATACCGCATAAAAAAATCTAAAATGGATAAGTCAGGTGATCGAGGAGGCACATGCAATTGGTTCACCTCTTTCTATCCCTCAGTCTACATAATTATGGTATAAATAAGTTTTAACATATCCTTCATTGTGGGGGTGGGGGTGGTGTGTCATAATGAAAGTCATGTTGGAACCACTCTATTAATGCGCGAATATCTGAATTTAACTTTTCTAACATGTCTTGAAAACCGTTCTCTAAAAAACGTAAGTAACGTTCACCGGTCAGCCTATCCTCGAAACTGTATGGCCAAGAAAAGTTGAACTAATAATCCTACACGCTTTTCTTCATTTGAAAAATTCATATTTACAATTTTTGTGATGTGATTATCTACAACTTTTATCTGAAAACTTTTTGTCTAAAATAGATTATAATGGAATTAGGGACAATTTTTAAAATAGCCAAAATTTGTTTTTTTTTTAAATATTAGTAAGCCATGAACCTTTTCTAAAATCTGAAAGGCGCATGTTTATGACTCCACAAAACTGCAATTCTTTCCCCATTTAACTGACTCTTTATCTCCAGTAGTTTTTGAGATATGTTGTCTCTGTACCCATAGAGAACATCGTAGGAAACTCACCCTGTAGATAGGTAAATTTTTTTTTTCGTTAGGATAATTAGATATACCTACTAAAGATTCATTCAGAATCTTGAAATTAGTGGAATAAGTTAGTAAGTTGGTTCCAATTAGCGTAGAGAAGTGTGTTTCTCTAATTTTAATGTAAGCGTTCAGAACGTTTTTTTTCTCACCCTGTATGTACTGAAAAAAATAAAGGTGTAAACAAAAATAAGATGTTTCTTCTCGGAAACGGTAAGTGGCTAAACGACGGATAGAGCTAGGGTTGCCACCTGTCCTTTTTTGAAAAGGACGGTCCTGTTTTCCAGCAAATTTTCCTTGTGATTTTTTTTAACCTAAAAAGTCCTATTACTCAGACTTCGCTGTCCGTTCGTCCGTCCGTCTGTCACAAAGGTCTATCTTATGAACCGTTAGAGCTAGACAGTTGAACTTTTCACAGATAATGTATCTATGTTGCCGCTGTAAGAACAAATACTAAAAACAGAATTAAATTAATGTTTATAAATAAAAAAGTACTTTCACTAAACATTATCTTTTAAGTAAGAATTTTACATAGAATCGTTCAAGTCCTCGGTGGCAGCGTGATTTAAAGCGTTAGGACTTTACGCTGCTATGACGTTGGAGCCGTAGTAAGGCAGGTTCGAATCCTAGTCAAGGCGACTTTTTTTAATCGTTATTTTTTTAATTTTTACATATTTTTACATATTTATTTTTACTTTTTACATATTTATTATTGATTAATACAATTTTTAGTAGATCAAGGATGTGCACGGCAACATAGTAACACACAAACAGGAAATCCTACACTCTATTAAACTTTTCTATCAAGAACTTTACACATCAAAACAGCAGGGGATCAGAACCGACATCTGAAAGGTAATAAATCAGGGGTCGGAAGAAATTCCAGAAATAACCGAGGAAGAAATTATCAGTGCCTCTAGAGATATGAAACACAATAGAGCTGCCGGCGACGATGGACTGGTAATAGAGTCAATCCAAGAAGGAGGACCAGAAATCATCAAAGCTTTAAATGTCCTATTTAATAAATGCATTGAAGAAGAAATAACCCCATCACAGTGGAACAACGCAACCATCATTATTGTACACAAGAAAGGTGACGTTACAGACCTTAAAAACTATAGGCCCATCAGCCTTCTTAGCCACGTATACAAATTATTTACTAAAATACTCACCAAGCGTTTGACAAATAAAATAGACTTTTTCTTTTCGAGCGAACAAGCAGGTTTCCGATCAGGTTACGGAACAAATGACCATCTTCTAACAGTCAAGGTCCTTATCGAGAAATGCATTGAGTATAATAGACCACTAATGCTTGTCTTCGTGGATTTCGAGAAGGCCTTCGATTCGGTAGACCAGCGGAAGCTTCTAGAGACACTAAGTGAGAGTCGCATCGATCATCGATACTCCTCAATCATAAGACATATATATGATAATGCCACGGCAAACGTCAGAATATCGACAAATCAATGCACAGATAAATTCAATATCGATCGAGGGGTAAGATAAGGCGACACACTGTCCCCTAAACTATTCGTTGCTGTGCTAGAAAGTATGTTAAAAATGATAAACTGGGATTCAACAGGAATTAACATCGATGGCAAATTGATAAATCATCTCTGTTTTGCAGATGACATTATTTTAATAACAGACAACATACAGGAGGCACAGAATATGCTGGATATGCTAAATGATGCTTCGGAAAAAGTCGGTTTGAAAATTAACTTGTCAAAGACACAATACATGACAAACCTAGTACTAAGTGGAAATTTAAACATTAATAACATACCTTTGGAACAAGTGCATATATATATATATATAAATACTTAGGGCATGAGATCGGTATTAGAAGGGATAATCAGACCCACGAAATTCTACGAAGAATAGGTTTGTCGTGGGCGGCATTTGGCAAACTAAGGCATATACTGAGATCTGATATTCCCATATGTTTAAGAAGAAAGATCTTTAACAAGGGTGTCTGTCCTCACGTATGGATCTGAAACGCTTACTTTGACAAAAAAGAACATACATAGAATACAGGTCATGCAACGGAAAATGGAAAGGTCTATGTTGGGAGTTACACTCAGAGATAAAATACCCAATCATACAATACGAAATCGAACAGGAGTAAGAGATGCGGTGATATCTGTCTTACATCTTAAATGGAATTGGGCAGGACATGTGGCTAGGATGACAGATGGACGGTGGACAAAGAGACTTGTGGAATGGAGACCGAGACACGAGGCCTATAGAAGCAGAGGACGACCTCCTAGTCGATGGACAGATGACATTAAGAGGGTGGCTGGAAACTGGATTCAAGTGGCAC